GTTTCACATTGTATACCAACCAGGAGATTTCAGTGTTCTCTATACACAGATCAGACCAGGATCCCCAGCCTCATACACCGATCGTAAAATGTCAATGTTCCCGACACCCAGGCCAGGACTCCCCCCTTCCTCCTTGTATACACTCACTATATTGCCAGAAGTATTGGTCGGCCGGCCTTTCCCCGAACATGACCTATAATGGCCTCCCAGTCTTAGTCCATAGGGTTCAATATTGGGTTGGCCGGCCTTTCCACACACATGACCTTTATTGGCCCCCCCAGTCTTAGTCCGTAGGGTTCAATATTGAGTTGGCCCCGCCCTTTGCAGCTATAACAGCTTCAACTCTTCTGGGAAGGCCGTCCACAAGGTTTAGGAGGGTGTCTATGGGAAGGTTGGACCATTCTTCCAGAAGCACATTTGTGAGGTCAGGAACTGATGTCGGGGGAGGAGGCCTGGCTCACAGTCTCCACTCTAATTCATCCCAAAGGTGTTCTATGGGGTTGAGGTCAGGACTCTGTGCAGGCCAGTCAAGTTCCTCCACCCCAAACTGGCTCCTCCATGTCTTTATGGACCTTGCTTTGTGCACTGGTGTGCAGTCATGTTGGAACAGGAAGGGGCCATCCCCAAACTCTTCCCATAAAGTTAGGAGCATGAAATTGTCCAAAATGTCTTGGTATGCTGATGCCTTAAGAGTTCCCTTCACTGGAACTAGGGGGCCAAGCCCAACCCCTGAAAAACAACCCCACACCATAATCCTCTCTCCACCAAAGTTTACACTTGGCACAATGCAGTCAGGCAAGTACTGTTCTCCTGGCAACCGCCAAACCCACACACGTCCATCGGATTGCCAGACAGAGAAGCGTGATTGGTCACTCCAGAGAACACGTCTCCTCTGCTCTAGAGTCCAGTGGCGGCGTGCTTTACACCATGGCATCTGACACTTTGCATTGTACTTGGTGATGTAAGGCTTGGATGCAGCTGCTCGGCCATGGAAACCAATTCCATGGAGCTCTCTACACACTGTTGTTGTGCTAATCTGAAGGTCACACCAAGTTTGGAGGTCTTTAGCTATTGACTCTGCAGTCAGTTGGCAACTTCTGCGCACTGTGCGCTTCAGCATGCGCTGACCCCGCTCTGTCATGTGACATGGTCTACCACTTTGTGGCTGAGTTGCTGTTGTTCGCAGTTTCTCCCACTTTGTTATAATCCCACTAACAGTTGAGCGTGGAATATTTAGTAGCCAGGAAATGTCACGGATGGACTTATTGCACAGGTGACAACCTATCACGGGACCACGCTTGGAGTCACTGAGCTCCTGAGAGCGACCCATTCTTTCACAAATGTTTGTAGAAGCAGTCTGCATGCCTAGGGGCTTTTTACACCTGTGTCCATGGAGGGGATTGGAACACCTGAATCCAATGACTTGGAGAGATGTCCAAATACTTTTGGCAATATAGTGGATATGAATATGGAAAATTCAAACAATAACTGTGCATTTATATAGGAAAATTAAAGAATCACATAAAATCTTACATAGTTATTAATACAAAGTGTATGGTATTATCACTGCAGGTCCTTTTAATGAGCCCATTAGTGCCTTGGTTAAGTTACAGTGGCTCAATAGCTAGGTTGTGGGGTCATGTTCACCAGGTCAGGTCCTTCTAGAAGGCCCTTTAGAGCCTCAACTAGGTTACAGAGGGTAATCCCTTTCTGGGTCAAGAAAGGTCCTCCTAATTTGGGCCTACACCATGTGTTGGAGAGTCATCATTTTTGTGGAGTCAGGACAGGTCTTCTTAATGATCCTATTAGGACCTCAGCTAGGTTATGGAGGGTGATCTGTCAGGAAAGGTCCTCTTAATGAGCCCACTGGTGCCTTTGCTAGGTTACAGTGGGTGATTACCTTCTCAGGGTCAGGACAGGTTTTTTTTTTTTTTTTTTTAAGTCCGCAAACGTGGAACTGTAACGAAAAAACCCGTAAGTGTCCGCAAAAAAGTGCAAGTGCAGAAACACACACACGAAAAACGTGCACTTAGGGGTGTGTTTGTCCTACCCCCGAAAGGGTTGGACCGTTCACCCGATCCCCCGGGGCACGAAGCTCCTGACAGGGACAAGGTTCCCATTTGGTCCTCCTGGCCAAAAGGCCTGGTGGACCACCGTTCCTTATGCCCAGCCGAAGCCGGACATCCAGTACTAGGCAAGGGGGTTCTCCCGAAGAGAAAACCCCCTAGGGATCAGGGGAGGAAGGAACCGTATGGCCACACATCCTCCCCCTAGACTTCAGGTAAGGCCCAAGGACCCACACCCTCCATCCGTGAAAAACACACACATAAGTAAGCAAAAAGTGACAAAACGTGGGAGTGATATAAATAAATAGAATAAAATAAAAAAGTGGTACCGTGCCTAATAGTGCACAGACCAGGCCCTGAGGCCTGTAGCAAAAATTGCCCCGGACTTAGCCAAAAGACCTGGTCCTTAGGGCGCTGTGCAAAAAGAGGTGAAAAACAGTGGCCATGTGTCAGGGTCAGGACAGGTGTTGTTACTGAGCCCATTAGGACCTCAGCTAGGTTGTGGGGTCATCTTCTCAGGGCCAGGTCCTCTTAGCCTTTTAGCTCCTCAGCTAGGTTACAGAGGGTCATCACTTTTTCTTGGTCAGAACATGTCCTCTTAATGGAGAAAGTACAGAGAAGGGCAACCAAACTGATAAGAGGCATGGAGGAGCTCAGCTATGGGGAAAGATTAGAGGAACTGGATTGTACAGGTGACAACCTATCACAGGACCACGCTTGGAGTCACTGAGCTCCTGAGAGCGACCCATTCTTTCACCAATGTTTGTAGAAGCAGTCTGCATGCCTAGGGGATGATTTTATACACCTGTGGCCATGGAGGGGATTGGAACACCTGAATCACATGATTTGGAGGGCGGAGCCAATACTTTTGGCAATATAGAATGTATCAAATCAGGAGATGTCAGTGTTCCCTACACACAAACCAGATCAGGATTCCAATCCTGCCTCCCTCCCCTGCCCCCACACACACACTGATCATACATAAGGAGTGTCGTTGTTCTCTACACAAACCAGGACTCCCCATCCCTGTACACCAGGGGCGGACTGACCATTTGGAAACTCGGGCACTGCCTAAGACGCCCGGGGTCAATAGGGGGCCCCATGAGATGCCCCTGGTACCTTTTTCATAGGCTATTTTGAGTTTGGGCAAGGACACAGGGGCCCCATGATCCCCTATTGCCCGGAGGCCCCATGAGTTGTCAGTCCGCCCCTGCTGTACACTGAATATAAATCAGGAGATGTCAGTGTTCCCTACCCCTAGACGTGACTGGGACACACACCCCCCCCCCCCCCCCGGCATATTCCAGGGGTAAGAAGGAGGGACAACAATACAAGCTAAACAGGTAAAAAACAAAACGTTTTTCATCTATGATCACTGCAGGGGAGAAAAAAGAAGTGCAACAGTCACAATGTTATATACAGTGAAGGAAATAAGTATTTGCTCCCCTGGGGATTTTGAATGTTTGCCCACTCACAAAGAAATGATCGGTCTACAAATCGAATGTTCGGTGCAGGGGCAGACTGACAACTCATGGGGCCCCCGGGCAATAGGGGATCATGGGGCCCCTGTGTCCTTGCCCAAACTAAAAAAAAGCCTATGAAAAAGGTACCAGGGGCATCTCATGGGGCCCCCTACTGACCCCGGGCCCTCGGGCAGTGCCCGAGTCTCCAAATGGTCAGTCCGCCCCTGGTTCGGTGTATTGCAACACTGAGAGACAAAATAGCAACAAACAATTCAAAAGAAATGCATGTCTAACAAATGATGACTGATTTGCATGTTCATGAGGGAAGTAAGTATTTGATCCCCTATCATTCAGCGGGATTTCTGGTTACCAGGTGTCTTTCATACAGGTAACTCGTGAGAACAGGGAGAAATGCTGTTCCGGGCTCCCTCCAGTGTCGCTCACTAGAAATGACCAAACCTCTAAAAAGTCAGAGCTTTTTGAAAATTCCCGGACCCTCAGAAAGTAGAATTTCCAAACCTGCATTAAAGTCAATAGAAATACAAAGAAGACTAAAAAAAAATAAAAATAAAAAGTAAAAAAGTGTATTCAAGAGCAAACAGTACCAAATACTAAGGAATTGTCCTGGGAGCCTGGACCTGGTGAGATGATGGAACCAAGAAATAATTGGAACTTTACAAAAATTCTACTGGGGAAATGAAGGGGGGCATTTACACACGCACACCCCCCCCCCCCCAAAAAAAAAAAAAAAAAAAACAGGAATATGAAGGACAGATATTTACTGTAATTTTCCCTTCCTGATGAGCTACATGCAGGGGTGGACTGACAACTCATGGGGCCCATGGGCAATAGGGGATCATGGGGCCCCTGTGTCCTTGCCCAAACTTAAAAAAGCCTATTAAAAAGGTACCAGGGGCATCTCATGTGGCCCCCAACTGACCCCGGGCCCTCGGGCAGTGCCCAAGTTTCCAAATGGTCAGTCCGCCCCTGGCTACATGTCAGCAGAGATGGAGGGGACAGGGCTTATACCCAGCTGTGCTGACATAGAGCCCAACAAATGTTATTAGGCCATTTTCTCTCCAGCTCAAATGTTCTTTATACAGAATAGAATGACTCTGGAAAATGCAGCATTAAGGCCACTAGATGGAGCTGAAGATCATAGGAAATAAGTATTTCTGCAGAAAACCCCCCCATGTAATCAGTGTTCATAGATCTGGTCTGTGTGCATGTGCATGCTCTCCTTTATATACACAATTTTTTTTTTTTATTACACACACATTAAGAACAGTCAAAGTTTATCCAGTTTATACACCGGCAGCAGTGTACTGCTTCGCTCCCAGAATCCTTCACTCCATATAGATCGATAGTCTCTATACAGAGGGCGCTTTGGCAGACCCAGCAAGAAAACATTTTATCCATACAGCACTGCTCATGTTCAGCCCATTGAGGTTCTCGTCGGAGAATTGGCGATTCACAATCTTCCCGGATGGCTCCGCCTCCTGTACCGAAACTGAACATCACCGTCTGGTTGGAGCACCCCAAACCCGTATCGGCTGCGGTCAAAGTCCGGAATCCCTTCTGCTGGGTTCTTCAGCTCAAATTCAAAATTCAGGATTAGAAGCCAGACAAAGCTGGAGGAGGAGAAGGGGGCGGGGGGTTAATCATTGTACCATTTCAACAGCATGTATAGCGGCATAGAATAGCAATCTGTCCAATGAAATTGCATGAATATGGTGCTGGTTCCCTTCGGTTGTCTTCCAGGGGGTGAAGACTCGGATCAATGCTATGTTGTTCAATGAACAGATGTCTAGCATTCTTCATGATTCTCATCTGAGATTCCTTAAGGTTTGGGAACCTTGAATACGTTATTCCTTGCCATCCCTGCCTCCTACTAGTTATGGTCTCCTATAGTCGCTGCCTATGCTAGTCCCACATCCGTGATCCCTCTAATTTCCCTTCTTTCATGTTTTCTTTCAGATTCCCTTTTGTTTTATTTTCTATTTCTTCTTTTCTAACCTTTTTTCCTCTTCTCTTTTTTTTCCGATATTATGTTGGATTACTGCTGCTATTTGGTTCGGCTTTTTGCTGTCCCTTCCTGATGTCATTGGACATTTCATTATTTGACTAATACAAGTCAGCAGAATGTCTCTGTTTATGTGTTGGTGTTCTGTTCTGCCCCTGCGAGGACGTATTTTGAGCTTGGTTATATTCTTAAAAACAAAACTTTCTTACTAAAAATATTGAAAGAGAATATGGTGCTGGTTCAAACTAAATTTTCATCATTTTAAAAGAAAAGAGAAAATACCACATTTGTCTACTGAATGGTACTAAGCATTCTAGGAATTTCCTATGATACTTGGCGCCATCTAGCGGTCAAATGTGGCATCTTCCATTTTAAAAATCAATGAAAAACCATTTGACCAGCTCAGGGCAGAACCTAATAACATTTGTAAAGATCGGCTAAGTTTACCCCACACATAGGGAAGTGGAGGTCAATCGATGGTTGGAAGATACAATGTTTACATTATTGATCAGATCTCTGTTTCCACCATGTAATTTCAAATTTGATTGATTGAAAACACATTCGAGTTCATGCTGCCAATCAATGCAAAGCAATCAATCATTTTTTGCCCTTGCTGATGACTCAGTTTAATCAAATCTGATCGAATAATGAGTCTAGGTCAATCAGGAGAAAAGTTATGAGACTGAATGGATTGCTTACACTTATCAAAACTTTGTTGGACAACCTAAAGTTCACCCCACATGTGACAATCTGATTGTACAATCTGCTTTACCCCAGGTTCACACCTAATGCAGGCCATAGACGGGTCGAAAATCGGCCGATTTTCGCACTGTTAGTGGGTTAATGGTCAGCTGTTTTTCGGGGTTTTGGCACTCTTTTTATCGGTAAAGTTGGAAAAAAAATTAAAAATCGGTTGATTTTGACGATCTTCCCGGCAATGATGGGCAAATTGGCAGATCGAAGAAGGAAGGAGGAAGAAGTTGCAACAATGTATCCATTTGTATCCGAATAAAACCATCTGTATCCAAAATGGATACAAATGGATACATTGTTGCAACCGCAATACTTTTTCATGTCAAATATAATAGCGGAGCTCTCTGCAAGGGACAGAATAATTAAATGCCGGCCGTAGACGAGACGAAAATTGGACGATTTTTTTTACAATTGGTGATAACGTCGGACTATTGAATGACCGATTTTTATTCTTTTTTTTAAAAACAGCCAGTTTTCGACCCATCTATGGCCTGCATAAGTGTTTTCTGCAGCGTTTTGCAGAAACGCAGTACAGTCCATTCAACATGATTTCCTATGGGACATGTTCACATCTGAGCGTTTCACCCGCTGCGTTTTTTGGAAAGGGTCAGGGACTTTTTTGAACGTAATAAGTTGCATTTTTTGGTTCTATAGACTTCAATGGAAACACTGCAGAAATGCATGTAGTGCGTTTTTGCTGCGTTTTAAATCTGCCTAGCAACAAAAAAAATTAAAAAGACAAAAAAAAAAAAAAAAAACGCATCAAAAATGCAAGTGGAAAACACAATGCAGAAACGGCTCAATCGCAACCTACATAGGTGTGAACCTAACCTTAGGGCTCATATACACTGCAGCTGATAAACTGACGTTTAGGAGCTTTTCTGCGTTTTTTTTTTTCCCCAGCAGCCCCTGAACTCTCCCTAATGTTTTCCTATGTGTCTATGTACACATCGTCATTTACAGGCAGTTGAGTTTACAGTCGTTTTTTTGAATGCACCAAACTTGCGTTCAGGAGTAGGTTTTACTGGCATTTCAAACGCCAAACATTTGTAAACACTTAACCGCGTTTATAAGCGTTTTTTAACTGTTTCATATCCAGATGCTGTCCAGAGCCTTTCTACTTTCTTGTCTGCAACCGAAACGCATTGGAACTGCAAGCACTGATGTAAACTATGACGCTGACAACCATATAACCTACTTTCTGTGTATTTTGGATGCCGAAAAAGCAACTGAAAAATGCATGTAGTATGAACTGGCTCTAAAAGAAAAATTGTACAAGAAAATTGTCTACTGTATGGCCAGATAGACCCAAATGGAGAGACTGTAGAGTGTATGACCAGCTTTACAGGCAGCTTGTCCTGTGACAGAACACACAAACGGTCAGGGTATCCCCACACCATGGACAGAATTGAATAGTAGAGCCTCTTCATTTTAGCCCACGCACTGGAACGCAAAACAGGAATGCGTTATAGGAACACGCTGCCCAATGAGGTTGTTCACATCTGCGTTCAGAAAAATGAGATATGACCTGTGTATTTTCATGCTCTGTGCGGTCTATGGAAATCCATGGCTACACATGTATAGTGCAGTTTCATGTGTTTTTTCCACAACAATGTCATTGCAGGAAACAAAAAAAAAAGCACAACCCATGAAAAACACTCAGAGCATGAAAATACATCCTCAAAGCATGATGAAGATGCATGTCAGAGATGATCCTGGCCTAAGGCAACTTAAGACCCATCTCCCTACTGCCATTTACCTCAACTCCTAGAATGCTTAGTCTACAATCGCCTGAGCTCCTCCCTCACTGACAACAACATTCTTGACCCTTTACAGTCTGGCTTTCGCTAACTACACTCCACTGAAACTACCCTACTAAAACTCACTAATGATCTACTAACTGCTAAAACCAATGGCCACTACTCCGTACTCATCCCAGCCTATGGCCGCTGCTCCGTACTCATCCCAACCCATGGCCGCTGCTCCGTACTCATCCCAACCCATGGCCGCTGCTCCGTACTCATCCCAACCCATGGCCGCTGCTCCGTACTCATCCCAACCCATGGCCGCTGCTCCGTACTCATCCCAACCCATGGCCGCTGCTCCGTACTCATCCCAACCCATGGCCGCTGCTCCGTACTCATCCCAACCCATGGCCGCTGCTCCGTACTCATCCCAACCCATGGCCGCTGCTCCGTACTCATCCCAACCCATGGCCGCTGCTCCGTACTCATCCCAACCCATGGCCGCTGCTCCGTACTCATCCCAACCCATGGCCGCTGCTCCGTACTCATCCCAACCCATGGCCGCTGCTCCGTACTCATCCCAACCCATGGCCGCTGCTCCGTACTCATCCCAACCCATGGCCGCTGCTCCGTACTCATCCCAACCCATGGCCGCTGCTCCGTACTCATCCCAACCCATGGCCGCTGCTCCGTACTCATCCCAACCCATGGCCGCTGCTCCGTACTCATCCCAACCCATGGCCGCTGCTCCGTACTCATCCCAACCCATGGCCGCTGCTCCGTACTCATCCCAACCCATGGCCACTGCTCCGTACTCATCCCAACCCATGGCCACTGCTCCGTACTCATCCCAACCCATGGCCACTGCTCCGTACTCATCCCAACCCATGGCCACTGCTCCGTACTCATCCCAACCCATGGCCACTGCTCCGTACTCATCCCAACCCATGGCCACTGCTCCGTACTCATCCCAACCCATGGCCACTACTCTGTACTCTTACTACTTGACCTCTCTGGAGCTTTTGATTCGGTTGACCATCCCCTCCTCCTCAAAAAACTCCGCTCTCTCCTGGTTCTCCTCCTACCTCTCGCAGCGCTCCTTCTGCATTACCTATAACTCTGCCTCCTCCTCTTCACTCCCTCTTTTTGTAGGGATCCCTCAAGGTTCTGTCCTTGGACCCCTTCTCTTCTCTATCTACACCTCCTCCGTTGGTCACTTGATAAACTCCCATGGCTTTAAGTACCAGCTCTATGCTGATGATACACAAATCTATCTTTCTACCCCTCACCTCACCCCTTCAGTCTCCTCTCGCATCACTAACCTACTAAGTGACATATGGATGTCACTCCACTTCCTCAAACTCAATCTTTCCACAACTGAGCTCTTAGTATTCCCCCTAGCCCGTGCTCCCCCCCCGACTTCTTCATCAAGATCAGTAATACAGCCATCAGGCCCTCCCCTCATGCCAGGGTACAAGGTGTAATCCTGGACTCCCATCTGTCCTTTCACCCCCAAAGCCAATCGCTGTCCAAATCTTGTAGACTTCACCTCCGCGACATCTCCAAGATACGACCGTTCCTGACCTCGGAAACCACTAAGCAACTTATTCACTCCCTTGTTATCTCTCGCCTTGACTATTGTAACTCCCTCTTCATTGGCCGACCTCATCACAGGCTATCCCCTCTTCAGTCTATCATGAATGCTGCTGCCAGACTCATCCACCTTACTAACTGTTCTGTATCTGCCATCCCTCTCTGCCAATCTCTCCACTGGCCTCCACTCAGTGTCCTCCACCCCTCTCTGCCAATCTCTCCACTGGCTTCCACTCAATGTCCTCCACCCCTCTCTGCCAATCCCTCCATTGGCCTCCAGCCAGTGTCCTCCACCCCTCTCTGCCAATCCCTCCACTGGCCTCCAGTCAGTGTCCTCCACCCCTCTCTGCCAATCCCTCCACTGGCCTCTAGTCAGTGTCCTCCACCCCTCTCTGCCAATCCCTCCACTGGCCTCCACTCAGTGTCCTCCACCCCTCTCTGCCAATCCCTCCACTGGCCTCTACTCAGTGTCCTCCACCCCTCTCTGCCAATCTCTCCACTGGCCTCCACTCAGTGTATTCCACCCCTCTCTGCCAATCTCTCCACTGTCTTCCCATTGCCCAATGGATAAAATTCAAAACATTGACAATAACATATAAAGCCATTTATAACTCTGCCCCAAATTACATCACCGATCTTGTCTCCAAATATCAACCAAACTGTCCTCTCCGCTCCTCGCACGACCTCCTACTCTCTAGCTCCCTTGTCTCCTTCTCCCATGCTCGTCTCCAATACTTCTCCAGAGCTTCCCCCATCCTCTGGACTTCTCTACCCCAATTTATCAGACTATCGTCTACTCTGCTCACTTTTAGGCGATCTCTGAAAACCTATCTCTTCAGGGAAGCCTATCCTGCTGTCAGCTAATAATGGAATCTTCTATTCCTCCTACCAGTCCTTCCCCCACAGTTACTACCTTTTGTACCACTAGCCCCTCCCTCCTAGATTGTAAGCTACCAGGATCAGGCCCTCCTAACCCTCTTGTATTGAACTGTATGGTTGCTGTATTGTCTCCCTTTATATTGTAAAGCGCTGAGCAAACTGTTGGCGCTATATAAATCCTGTATAATAATAAGGCGATTTTCCTTCTGCCTGTACCTGTACAGCTTTAAGTGATTTTGTCCTGGCCCCCATGGCTCTGTTTATTATGATGTGAATTTTTTTGTGACAACCCCACATTGGACAAGGACATTTTTTTACCCCATCTGAAAAAGTAGTATTTGGACAGGCCAGGGGTTCTGCATCCTCCTAGAGCAGAAAGAAAACTCCTCCTAAAAGATTTAGCATGTGCTTGGCTGGACACTGATAGAAGTCACAGGACTGCTATATACTGCTGATGAGAAAAGGTAATTAGCAGTTTATATTTACTAGAATAATCACATGTCCATGTTGTGTGTACTGTGGGAGACCAGATATAGTGAACGCGGGGTTCGGGAGGAGCTGATATAGTGAACGCGGGGTCCGGGCGGAGCCGATATAGTGAACGCGGGGTCTGGGCGGAGCCGATATAGTGAACGCGGGGTCCGGGCGGAGCCGATATAGTGAACGTGGGGTCCTGGGTTTAGTAACACTTTAAGCTTAGAAAATAAAACCTGGAAGCCGATTGGTTTCTATGCAGAGCTGCACCAGATTTAGCACTTTCCAGTTTTAGTAAATCAACCCCATTGCCACTTTGATAGTCAAATCTTGCGTTAACGTCTTACAGTTTAATGCTGCTGGTGATGGCATGAAATCGCCCCATGCAGACGTTGGCGCCGGCTCCCCATGGCATGGTAAAATGCTTCACCCTTCGGCCCTTCTTGTAGAATTCTCTCTTCTCTGTGCCGTCTGCATTGAGGAAACGGTTGTAGCGGAAGACCTACAAGGCAGAAGATGGGTCAGCTCCCAGGCAGAGTAATGGAGAGGACATCTTTGTCATAAGATGGAAATGGTGACCTGTAAGGTGTCCTTGGCTGATGTTTTTATACTCTATGTGGAAAATCGAAAAAGGTAATGAAATAAGGGCAGAGTGTTTCCTCTCCACAATGTGGGTCAACACAAAGGGCGTTGCACAATACGAAGGAGCCCCCACCCGGTGTGCTGAGTCTACGAATGATGAGACAAATATAGAAAGCTCAGCTGGTTTATTGGGTCCCTCAGGTGGTGTATCATCTATAAATAACTCCACTCGGCAGGCGGTGCGACCCCCGGCGGCCTGGCGCACCTATTTTCCAGATGTTCTATTTTCTGCACGCTCACCATTGTCTTCGGGTGGAACTAGTTTGTGTTAATAATTGATGGAGCCGATTGGAGAATTCACTATGTACTTGAAAAACGGGACAGTTGGCGTGATGGATGGGGAGGAAAACATGTATGATAATAGAGATATTGCTCAGTATTGTATCACAAATCTGATGAATTTGTACAATGAGATGAACACGGGAAAGAAGATTAGGACCATTGTTTTATGTGGAGCCCCTGATGAAATGGCTTCAACCCAAAATGGCGCCCACATTGTGGATCACTACACATTGCTTTGATTGAGCTGAACACACAGGAAAAATCATGTTGGTGTCAAATAGCTCCGTAGCGCTTCACTAATTGAGGCATACAGCTGTTTATGAACCATATAGATAAGCTCTGTGTTCTGGGAATTAGAATGGTGGAAGGAGGATGAAGGACAAGTTTAGGGGGGGTGGAAGAGGGAGAAGTGGAGGGAGGTGGAGGAGGCGGAATGGTAGATGGAGGAGGAAGAAGGGGAGGAAGGACAGGTGGAAGAGGTGGGAAAAAGAAATAAAAAAAAAAAGGAAGAACAGGTGGAGGAGGAACAAGGACAGATGGAGAAGAAATAGGAAGGACAGATGGGAGGAAGAAGGGCATATGGAGGGAGGTGGAGAAAGAAGGGAGAACGACAGGTGGAAGGAGGAAGGGTATTAGAAGGAGGAGGAATGACAGGAGATGGGAAGGACAAGTAGAAGAGAGAGCAAGAGGGAAAGTCAAGTGGAAGAAAGAAGAGAATAGGACGGGATTGGAGCGGGTAAAGGGTGGGAAGGAGAGGAAAGGTAGGTGGATCGAGTAAGGGGAAGACAGATGGGAGGAGAAAGTGGATAGGATGGGGGAGCACAAGTGGAGGGAAGAGGGGGAGAGGAAGAAGAGGAAAGTACAGGTAAAATGAGGATGGGAAGGAGGGGGAAGGACAAGTGAGAGGGGTGACATGTAAACGATGGGAAGGTGAAGGAAAGGCGGGTGGAAGGAAGAAGGGGATAGGATGGGGTTGGGCAGGGGTTCTTCCTAAAAAAAAAAAAAAAAAAACCCAAGTGGAGGGAAGAGGGAAATGAGAAAATGAAAGAAAGGAGAGGTGGAAGATAGTGGGGAGAGGGGGGGAGAACAGAAACGGAAGGACAGGGAAGGACAAACGGACAGAAGAATGGAAGACAGACAAACCTGAGGCTCTGGGTGTATCTCTTGATCCATCTGAGGACTGACATAGGGGAAAAGGCACAGTCTGTCTCCCCTCCTTAGCAGGTACTCTGTGCCGTCCACCAGCCTTAGCGGCAGATCAGTCAGCACCTCTCTGGTGATAAAGGGGGCGGCAGTGAGACGGAGACTTTCCTCCAACACGCTGTCTGCACAATAGACAATACAGGTTAGGTTATCAACTTTACACTGGAGTATATCCAACATTGTGTGGGGTGTCAGGTGTACCCAGCATTTAACGGGGTGCATGGGAGGATTGACCCCATTTGGAAACTCGGGCACTGCCCGAGGGCCCGGGGTCAGTAGGGGGCCCCATGAGATGCCCCTGGTACCTTTTTCATAGGCTTTTTTCAGTTTGGGCAAGGACACAGGGGCCCCATGATCCCCTATTGCCCAGGGGCCCCATGAGTTGTCACTTTGCCCCTGCTCCCCCCCTCCCCCCCATCATTCCTCACAGCATAAATTTACCTACAGAACAAATCTTTAACGATCCCTTCAGCCCTGACCATGCTCTGCTTGGAATAACATGCTAGCACTGCGCCATGATCCCCTATTGCCCGGGGGCCCCATGAGTTGTCAGTCCGCCCCTGATGGGGTGTCAGGTGTACCTATGAGGTGTGGGGTGCAACTGATAACATGAAAAACGAGAGGTGCACCAGCTCCTCTCACTCTGGGGAGCATCACTCTTCACTGGTCCCTGATTGTCTCTCATTGGTCTCCTTGGTCCCTCTTGCAATGAACTCACTGAATATTGTTGCACTCTCCAGCTCACTTTGGCCGATCTCCTCTAATCCCTTCACTTTCTGCAGCATCATCTTCAGTTCACCTTCAATGGCTGCCATCGCCTCAGGATGCTTCAACAGGAACAACAGAAGCCAGAAGGCCGCTGGACCCGCATTGCCCTGAAAATAAAGACCAGGAGAGAATGAACAGCTTCACATTATTCTGTGTAGGATTGAATTTGAAATGACCCTTTTCTGGTCGAAGGACAGTCAACCATTGTGGCATAAGGTCATGGAAAGGGGTAGGAGTGCCATTGTGGAATGTCCTCCAATCTAGGTAACTTATCCTGCCATCAGTTATCTCAGCAGTTGTTCAGCAGGGGTACCAACTACACTGTCTGCCATCTACAATGTTTAAGCATGCCACCATTTTACTGACCGGCTTGTGCGGTATCTACTGGTGACTGAGATATGGGGCCACCAAGTGGGAGAAACCCAACAGTTTCATTATTAATAACATTGGGAAAATCCAGTGGGAACTGCTATTGGATGTGACACTACACTAACTGTATCAGCTAATTAGATTTCACAAACCACTCACTATAACCACCCAATAAAATGACAGAACCCCTCCCCATGTTCATATCTGTGCTGCTACCTGGAAGTGGACATTGAAGGAGAGATATTGGGGTAATACCTCTGGAATGGACTGGTTCTCTTTGGTGGTTGGTAGGGTTGGACATTGGTATTTCGGTACGGGAAGTAGTGTTGCCCCCTCACCTGTGTTGCCCACAGTTGCAGTAGCATGGCACGACTCTGCATGTCCCTGGGTACTTTCAGTTCTTCCAAGTGGTGCTGGTAGGCCTCCAGCCAGCTGCTCCGATTGGCTCTCCTCCGCAGGGTGTTGGCATCCAGCAGTTGCCATAGGTTCTCCTTCAGTAGAGCCGCCTCCTTCTTCTCCGCTGGGGAGGACACAGAGCGGACATTACATAAAAAACAGAAGACTGGCCTTAGATAATGACCCCCCTATGGGTTAGAACAGTGGGGAATTTGCCAAATCTTTCCTCCATGTAGTGACAGTTAAAAGCTCCAATATAAATTAGAACTCCAACAACGATAATAATGTATATAACAACGAATAATGTGCTATCGCCTCAAAACAACCAACATTGATAAAAAGTTCATGCCTGGTTGCAAAAGGATTTAGAAAATTGATGAGGTCAGCAAATTTGTGTGAAGTAATGCTGCCCCCATTAAGGGATTCTATCATTAATCCAGTGATATCAGTTTGTGACAATGAGAGAGACAAGGTCGTGCGCCCTCCATGCGACTGTGCTACCGAGTTGGTGTATGGAGCAACGCTGCCCCCAGGTGTCTTATTCTGTCATTACACTGTGCTAACAGCTCATGACAGATCAGCACTGTTCACCAGCGTTAAAAAACGTTAAACCAAAACAGTATATTACAGCTTTCCTAATCTTAGATGTGATAGCTGCAATCGGTTTCTTTTTGAGGTCCTTTCTTTTATTTTCACCTGGTGATCCTGCCAGTAGGTCTGTTTCACAACAGAAAAAGCTGTCCTGCAGATGTAGCAGTTACAGGCTTGAGATAAACCATTTAGCACTGACAGGAGTGCTTACAACGATCAGTCACCCACCCCTCCTCCATTATGTAAATACTTTACTCTAAAAAGGAAAAAAAAAAAACACACTGTTTGCTGTAACACTGCTTTTATAGTGTTAGCTGGAGATTTGCTTCAATTTGTTAGTGTATCCAAAATCTGCTAGTACATCTAACAATTCCCTTCCCCAGGCTGACAGTGCTGCTGTCCAAAAGGTGCCTCCTGTGCTCCTTCATATAGAGTGGGGATACTAATACAGGAGGTGTGTACCTGGCCAGATCACCAGGTAAAAAAAAAAAAAAAAAAAAAAAAAAAAAAAAAAAGGAGGGGAAGGATTATACTTACCTACCCCATGCAATAATGTTGCAATGTTATACAGAGTGGTCCCTTACCTGCCCGCACCCCCTTCCTCCGGGTGCTTGAATAGCAAGCAAGGTACCAGCCTTAAGCACTGATACCAGCATTCAACACAACTTTAAAGACTGTCCAGCTGCATTCGGCACTGTCCAGCTGCATTCGGCACTGTCCAGCTGCATTCGGCACTGTCCAGCTGCATTCGGCACTGTCCAGCTGCATTCGGCACTGTCCAGCTGCACTCTCAGGGTTGTTGTTGCTCTATGGATCTATAAACATGCTTTCTAGGGAAAGAAGGTTTACGGATCCATTTTTGAGTGGAGCTGGTCTGACTCCCTGCAGATCTGTTTGCGTACTAAAATTGCATTCACACCAATCCAATGGATCTGGAGAAGCTCATGAAGACCAAGGTTGAAGGTTATTCACCTACAGTGAGTGACACCGTACAGAGGTGTAAAGTGATGATGCACCTACTAGGAATTTTCCCTTACTATGAAATCTCCATTTCAGATGTGATGCCCCTACCTGCAGATAGTATGCCTCGGGCACTCTTCATCAGCAGCTGGTCAAACTTCCGGAATTCTCTGTACACGTGGAGTGAGTGTTGTAAATCCCTCCCTGGTGCTGACAGCTGTACTGACTCCGACCCAAAAAGAGTCAGATATCCGGCCCTGAAAGACAGAAAAGGTGGCAGTGAACTCCCTGTGGATAATCCGCACTTTCTGGGTTAAGAATACAAACTGGGATACATCTACTCTGATAGCAAATTGATGGCGCCAATGATCACATAATCTGATCTGCTGGTGAATGGGATAAAATGATCCAACATCTGTTCTGCTGGTAAATGGATGGGCAGATGATCCGAGGATCACTCAGCTGGTGAATTGACGGGGCGAGTGACCCAACATGAACTCTGCTCCGCTGGTTAATGGACATGATGAATGATCCTACATCCATTCTGCTGGCAAATTGATGGGGCAAATGATTCAACAATCCATTCTGCTGGTCAATTCATAGGGCAAATGATCCATCATCCGCTTTGCTGGTAAATGGATGGGCAAATGATCACCTATCTGCCTGTGAATTGACATAGAGAATGATCCAATATCTGCTCTGTTGGCAAATTGATGGGGCGAGTGGCCCAACATGAACTTTGTTGGTGAATGGACTCGGTGAATGATCCCACCTCTGCTCAGCTGGTAAATGATTTGGTGAATGGTCCAACATCCATTCCACTGGGGAACCATTGAGGAGAATGGTCAGACATCCGCTCTGCTGGTGAATTGACTTGCTGAATGATCCTACCTCTGCTCAGTTGGTAAAGGATTTGGTGAATGGTCCAACATCCGTTCCACTGGGGAACCATTGAGGGGAATGGTCAGACATCCGCTCTGCTGGTGAATTGACTCAGTGAATGATCCTACCTCTGCTCAGCTGGTAAATGATTTGGTGAAGGGTCCAACATCTGTTGCACTGGGGAACCATTGAGAAGAATGGTCAGACGTCCGCTCTGCTGGTAAATTGACAAGGCGAATGATCCACCATCTATGTTGCTAGTTATTCACATCTACTCCCCTATCCTGCCTGCTGGATTATAATTTTCCAGTTTGCCCAATATTCACTTTCCATTACCTCGTTTTAGAAGGAATATATTGTAATCAGGTGTATGACCATCATTAGTGAACTATACAGAACCATTATCTCCTCTGGCCCTGTTCTAAGTAATAAATATGGTTCGGGAGGGTAGTACAGGTAATACAATACATAAATAATAGAGGTCCGTGCCATAGAAGCACACAACCCATTTATAACAGAATGAATTGGCCATGGGAATCTCCCAGAATTCCATGCTTCACTTATTCCTCCAGATTTCTCTGTTAGCACCAAGTCTCACAAGCAATTGCTTAGAGGACACATCTCTCTTCTACGGCGTCCTTCCATGTTCCTCCATGGTGAACTTTTGCAGGGACACCCTTTGGAAAGGTGATGGCGATACCTCCCTGATTCATCTACTGGTGAGAAGTCCAAACACTTAGATTGGGTCACCCAGAGGCTGAGGCCCCGCTGTACACTGCAAGATGAGCCTTGCCAAAAGGACAGGTTGGCAGAACAGCAACACTGACTGTCCTTGAAATGTGGGGGAATGAACCATGTTGACCCCAAGGGGTTCATCTGATGGGGTCCAGAGACTTGTCTGCCTTTTATAATAAAACTACAATTAATATTATATACATACACAAATACTTTTTTTTTTTTTTTAAGAATATAATTCGGGAAACATTCATACAATATGGGGGACCAGTAATAAATGTAAGGTCATTGGGTGGCTTAACAACACCCTTAACTAGTTCCTCAGGGGTGGGACAGCAATTTACCTCCCCACTCAGCTCACCACCTCCAGAGAGCCCCTCCCCTGTTGACATTCCTATTAGCCCTCCACATTGTGGCTTCCCATGTCCTAGTTCCAATTCAGTGGCGCCAGTTATTTCCTCTATTATGATTTAGATTATTAAAATAAACTGATTATAGGAAATACCTTAACATGACTCCATATGTGAAGTTGAAGAGGCCATCCTCCTGCCATGTTGTTGCTGACATGCTGCCGTCATTCAATATGGTGGATAGGTTTCTGAACATGGTCCTGGTTAGACTTGGCAGGTTCTGGTTCTGCAGATGTCTAGAGCAGACATTTTAATAAAAGGAAACTATGCTCGGAAATCACTTCCGCACCGCTAAATTTACAATAGAAGGCCACACTGGCCATCAGACTAAAAACCCCGCCATCTCCACAATCTATTTTTTGCTTGTTCAGTACTTACGATCGTAGCATGGCCTTTTCCACTGCGGGATCAAAATCTGGCAGAGTGACATCAAACATTCGCTCCATTAAAATCTTGGCGTATTTTCCAAAGTCCAACTTGTTACTGGACTCCCAGACTACGTGGTCATAGGAAAACGGATCCAGGAGAACGGTGACAAATCTCCCTGCCACCTGGACCTGCCGGGAATAGAGAGTGGTCAGCATCAGGTGACATGTGGAGGAATGGTGGTACTGCCACAGAATTGACTCTACACTGCAACAACTCTACATAGTCCTATCCCTCCAACCCACCCCCAGAGGAATTTGGTTTTTTGGCCCCTCTATCCTTTTTGAGAGATTTGTTTGTTTTCTCAGCTATAATCTCCGGAACCTTCTGGAAGATCTTCCTTAATCTGAGCATATTTCAGGAATGACGCTCTGCGGGTTTCTTTTCTCACAAAGGAGATTTTCCTCCTGTGAGATGTGAAGAGGATTAACAGACACAGACGAGCACAGGAGACGCGGGGGGAGGATTTCTACTAACATTTCCAGTGATCGTCCTCCAGTTCTGGGGTGATTGGAACGCGGCACCCACACTGCACCATTATATCATAACTACACAACCCCACCGCACGATCATACAACTACACCACCCCACGATCATACAACTGCACAACCCCACCGCACGATCATACAACTACACCACCCCACCGTACGATCATACAAACGTACACCACCGTACGATCACACAAGTGCACAACCCCAGCGCACGATCACACAAGTGCACAACCCCAGCGCACGATCACACAAATGCACAACCCCAGCGCACGATCACACAACTACACAACCCCACCGTACGATCATACAACTACACAACCCCACCGCACGATCATACAAGTGCACAACCCCACCGCACGATCATACAAGTGCACAACCCCACCGTACGATCATGCAACACCATACAATTGCACCACTATATCATAACTACACCATACAACCCAGCGTACAATCATACCGTAACAATCACACTGTATCATATTCATCCAAATACCATACAACCACACAGCTTCATTGTATCACACAACCCCCACCATGCAGCTACACAACCACACTGCACCATGATATCACATGGCTAGACAACCACAACATACAATTACACACAACCATACAGACACTGCACCATCATATCACACAACTACTCAATCATACGGTACAATTACTATGCACCAATATATTACACCGCAACATTATGTCACATAAATACACTGCACAATCACACTGCCTCGTTGTGTCACACAACCTCACCATACTATCATACTGCACCATATCACAACTTCATGGTTACACAACAATACCGTACAATCACACTGCTTCATTGTATCACACAGCCCCACTACTTCATTTTATTATGCAACTACACAACCAGACCATTGTACCCCACAACCAGACTATTGTACCCCACAACCAGACCATTGTACCCCACAACCAGACTATTGTACCCCACAACCAGACCATTGTACCCCACAACTACACAACTCTGCCATACTGCACCATTGTACTATACAACCACACCAACAATCACACTGCACTATTGTGTCATACAACTGCACGGCTCTATTTGACAAATCTACACAATCACTCTACTCCATTGTACTGAATAACTATCAGACACCATCATATTACACAACCACACAGTGCACTATATATCGCACTCCATTAATTCTCACAACTACACTGTAACAGATACGATAACGACACAACCTTTACTGGACAATTGTATCACACAACTATGCGGTTCAACCACACTGCATCACTACATAACGACCCAACTCAACCACACTGCATCACTACATAACTACCCCACTCAACCACACTGCATCACTACCCCACTCAACCACACTGCATCACTACATAACTACCCCACTCAACCACACTGCATCACTACATAACTACCCCACTCAACCACACTGCATCACTACATAACTACCCCACTCAACCACACTGCATCATTACATAACTGCCCCACTCAACCACACTGCATCATTACATAACTGCCCCACTCAACCACACTGCATCATTACATAACTGCCCCACTCAACCACACTGCATCATTACATAACTGCCCCACTCAACCACACTGCATCATTACATAACTGCCCCACTCATCCACACTGCACGTTGTACCGCGCAACTACACAACCCAACTCCTTCATTGTTCACCTGATAACCTCCCATGGCTTCAAGTACCATCTCTATGCCGATGACACCCAAATCTATCTCTCTACGCCACACCTCACTCCTTCAGTCTCCTCTCGCATTACTAACCTACGAAGTGACATATCAGCATGGATGTCTCACCACGTCCTTAAACTAAATCTCTCTAAAACTGAGCGGATAATATTCCCTCCCCCTCCTGCACTCCAATACAACCATCAGTCCCTCCACTCAAGCCAGGTACTAGGTGTAATCCTAGACTCTGACCTATCCTTTTGGCCCCAAATCCAATCACTGTCAAAAGCTTGTAGACTTCATCTCTGTACCATTTTAAAATTTCGCCCCTTTTTAACCCCTTGCCCTCCAGAGGATTTACCCCCATTCCTGACCAGGCCATTTTTTGCGATACTTTAACTGACAATTGCCCGGTCATGCAACGCTGCACCCAAATGAAATATATGTCCTTTTTTTCCTACAAATAGAGCTTTCTTTTGGTGGTATTTGATCAACTTTTTTTTGCGTTATAAACAAAAAAAAGACCAACAATTGTGAAAAAAAAAAAAATATTTTTTTACTTTTTGCTATTAAATGTATTCTGCTCCATGTCTTTGCTAATAAAAAAATACGCAATATGTGTATATTAATTTGTTTACGTGAAAGTTATAGTGTCTACAAATGGCGGTATAGATACTGGAATTTTATTTTTACTAGTAAGGGCGGCGATCAGCAACTTATAGCGGACTGCGGTGGGCATTCTGACACTGGGGGGGGGGGGGGGGGGGGGGGGGACTGACTTAGTGTCACTGACATCCCCAGTGACACCAATACAGTGATCAGTGCTAAAGAAAAAAAAAAAAAAAAGCACTGACACTGTATTAATAGCACTGGGCAGGAAGGGGTTAACATGAGGGACGATCAAAGGGTTAACTGTGTGCTGTTTTACTTACCACTGTAAGCGCACTGCTATGCAGAGCCATACAAAGCAGCATGCAGGAGCTGACAGGAGAGAGATCTGTGTTGTTTATACATAGGTCTCTCCCCCGTCTGTGATACTCGGCGATCGCCGGGTGCCGGTGGGGAATCACTGTCCGGGACCCGGTGATTGACAGTCGAGGCCGGGAATGGCGGCGTAGGTAGGGTGCGTGCGCCCCCTATCCGGAGCTGCAAAATCTTGTATATGTGCCCGTGCCTCCGTGGCGGCGTGGAAGCAGTTAACCAACAAAATGGCCAAGCTACTCTTTCACTCCCTTGTTATCTCTCACCTTGACTATTGTAACTCCCTCCTCATTGGCCTACCTCTCCGTAGGCTATCCCCTCTTCAGTCTATCATGAATGCTGCTGCCAGGATCATCTACCTTACCAACTGTTCAGTGTCTCCCACCCTTCTCTGCCTCCACTGGCCTCCGATTGCCCAGTGAATTAAATTCAAAAATACTAACAACAACATACAAAGCCATCCACAGCTACATCACCAATCTTGTCTCCAAGTATCACCCAAACCTTCCTCTCCGCTCCTCTCATGATCTCCTGTTCTCAAGCTCCCTTGCCACCTCCTCCTCCCATGCTCGTCTCTCCGGGACTTTGCCAGAGCCTCTCCCTTCCTCTGGAACTCTCTACCTCAATCTGTCCAGATATCCACTACTCTGGCTGCCTATAGGTGATCCCTGAAAACTCATCTCATCAGGGAAGCCTATCTCACCGTAGACATTTTCCTTCCTATTAGATTGTAAGCTCTTATGAGTAGGGCCCTCTTAATCCTCTTGTATTGATTGTATGGTAGCTGTACTGTCTTCCTTTATATTGTAAAGCGCTGCACAAACTGTTGGCGCTATATAAGTCCTGTACAATGATAATTCCATACACCATTGTACATCTATACACAGCACCCTAGTGTTACACAATTACCCCACACAAGCCTGTCTGTACAATTACAATGGAGAACAATGCGACACACCCACACTGCACCTTCCGAGAACCACATGAATGCGATCACTGGAAGGAAAGTCCCTGCTCCAGCCTCCCTCCAATGAGGAGAATGCACGGTTTAGGGTGGAGTAAATGATAATCTGGAAGTCAGTTAGTGGAGAGATGAAGAAGAGATGACCCGGGGCAGCTGTGCACAGGAAGAGACATGCCGGGGATGATAGTTTCCATACTAGAATGTTAATTAAACCTTTGATAATAACACGTTAAAAAAAAGAGACGCTATACTGAGACATATAAATATAGAGTCCATCACTGCTGGCCTTCCTCTAAAAATGCTGTTTGCCATGTTCATACCTTGCGCTCAATACTCAGAGCCACTGATCTGGAAAAAAAAAAAAGCATGCAGCAAGTGAAGTACAAACGTAATCTGCCTACTTGTGATTAGGGCTCAAGCAAAGAATCAGAATGAAAAAAACTAGACGATTCAGTAGGAGCCTGGCAATGGCGGCCTGCATATTTGTCTCAGGAGAGGTTCCCGTAAATATTAAATATTTTCCGCAACCGAGAAATTGCTCAATGGTGCATCATTGGTGCATCCTGGGGGCATCCCATGGCTCCGTACACCAGACCAGACATTGAACATGGCTCCGTACACCAGACATTGAACTTGGCTCCGCACACCACACTAAACAATGTACATGGCTCCGCACACCAGACCAGACATGGAGCATGGCTCCGCACACCAGACCAGACATGGAGCATGGCTCCGCACACCAGACCAGACATGGAGCATGGCTCCGCACACCAGACCAGACATGGAGCATGGCTCCGCACACCAGACCAGACATTGAGCATGGCTCCGCACACCAGACCAGACATTGAGCATGGCTCCGCACACCAGACCAGACATTGAGCATGGCTCCGCACACCAGACCAGACATTGAGCATGGCTCCGCACACCAGACCAGACATTGAGCATGGCTCCGCACACCAGACCAGACATTGAGCATGGCTCCGCACACCAGACCAGACATTGAGCATGTCTCCGCACACCAGACCAGACATTGAACATGGCTCCGCACACCAGACCAGACATTGAACATGGCTCCGCACACCAGACCAGACATTGAACATGGCTCCGCACACAAGACCAGACATTGAACATGGCTCCGCACACCAGACCAGACATTGAGCATGGCTCCGCACACCAGACCAGACATTGAGCATGGCTCCGCACACCAGACTAGACACAGGGCACACTGGACACCAAGAACAGCTTCATGCAATGGACCAGACATGGCTGTACATCAAAGTTTCAGAAGAAGCCTGGCAATGGCAGCCTGCATATTTGTCTCAGGAGAGGTTCCCTTAAATATTTTTTAAGGGAGAAATGCTGTTAGTGCACCCCGGAGCAGGGTTGCCAGTGGTGCAACCCCCCCCCCCCCAACCAAACCTACCCCCCTGTGGATGGTTACCACTGGCAGAGATCAGAGGAAGCTGGAAATGGACAGGTTTATGGCTTACTGTCACATGGCAGAATCCTTGTGTGTGGAATTGTCCAACCACCATTGTATGCGTGTGTGTGGCCCATTCATGTCACCCGCCCAGTCACACCAATCTGCCACATTACAGGAATGTATAGAGCAAACTAACCATCATGGGTAATGCCGTGCATCACCACCCATAATCCTCTGTGCCTGAACCCCCTATGGACAAAGTGTATGGTGCAGAAAGGACACTTACCGTGAACACATCTCCATGTTTGGCTTTCATGCGTGTCAAGAAGGCGGCTGCGTCTCTCCCGAATTCCAGCGCGTGACCCAACCACGGGATGAATCCACGGTCCAGTGGGGGCTCATTCTTCCTTCTGCAAGAGACACAAAACCACATTCAGGATCTGCAGGTTCATTCTTACGTAGAACCAGAGGCAGACTGACAACTCATGGGGCCCCCGGGCAATAGGAGATCATGGGGCCCCTGTGTCCTTGCCCAAACTAAAAAAAGCCTATGAAAAAGGTACCAGGGGCATCTCATGGAGCCCCCTACTGACCCCGGGCCCTCGGGCAGTGCCGAGTTTCCAAATGGTCAGTCCGCCCCTGCGTAGAACATATAAGAGTGGAAATCCTCTGTAGGTAAATACAAGACACCCTCCCCAAATAGACAATTTTTTGTTTTCTTTCATAAGAGGAATTTCCAGTTGGCACATTAAAAATCCCCACATTCCGAACTTCCAAAACCACCAACATCTGTTAAATGCCAATACAATTTTTTTTTATCTATACAATAAAATACAATTTAAAAAAAAAAAACCCATCCAGTTGAATCACCAAATCTGTTTTATAATACAAATCTCTTAAATTTTATTGGTTCAGTTTGTTTTGCATACAGATTACTTCTTCAGGATCCACTGGCTTGTGCGGTCTTAAGATATGGTGACTAACAATCTAAATGAAGGCCTCCAGTTCTCAGGACTGATAAGATACAAGACCTAAACAAGGTACTACAACACGAATCATGCCAAAATATCAATTAAAAATCTTCTTTAGGCTTGCATAAAAAGGTTAATATATTAACCTTTTAATTAATAAATGATACTGGGCAGGGAAACCCAGAAAGTATTTTGAGCCCACCACCCAAGGTAGATGGTGGCACAGTGGCTTAGTGGTTAGCACTTCTGCCTTGCAGTAATTGGGTGATGGGTTTGATTCCCAACCATGGTGCCTCCTGCATGGAGTTTGCATGTTCTCTCTGTGCCTGTGTTGGTTTCCTCCCACATTCCAAAGACATGCTGGTAGGTTAATTGGCTCCTGTCTAAATTGCCCTAGTTTTATCCCTGGCCATGCGGGATCTTCTGCATGGTGGGGGTTGGGGAAAGACCTGGCAACCTACCCTGTATAATAATTGCTAAGAGAATTCATGGAAGAAGTCGCTTGCGAGTGATGGTCCATGCAATCACCAAGGGTCGGATACAACTGAATGGATAGATAGAGACCCAATGTAGAAGGAAGGCAACCCCGCAAGGTTAGGGTTCCTAAGAAGCGATCCTCTATCTTACTGTATACAATTGGTGTCCTTGCTCCCTGATATACCCACTGCAACTTCCACAAAAAAAAAAAAAAGGGGGAGGGCGGTACCTAATACCACACACTTGTCTAATACTCACCCAATAATAGTCATCTAGTAGTGAGTGAACAATACTCACCTAATACCACACACTTGTCTAATACTCACCCAATAATAGTCATCTAGTAGTAATGGGAACAATGCTCACCTAATACAACACATTTGTCTAATACTCACCCAATAATAGTCATCTAGTAGTAATGGGAATAATAATCACCTAATACAACACACTTGTCTAATACTCACCCAATAATAGTCATCTAGTAGTAATGGGAACACTACTCACCTAATACAACACACTTGTCTAATACTCACCCAATAAAACCTGAAATAAAATCACCTAACACTGACCCAGTACTAATCAAAATATTACCCATCCTATAATACTCATCTGATACTCAGCCAATGACACCCAAATCATTTCATTCACCTAATGAGTCTAAGGCTGGCCATACACTGTACAATTTTCTGTCCAATTTCCTTTAGATTTACCTTCCACTATGTAGTACAAGGTCCGGCCTAATTGGATACAACTGGAAGTGTTGTTTAGGTTTGACCTCCTATTATATGGTTTTTGGTAAATCTAAAGCACAAATCTCAAGAAAATTGTATAATGTATGGCCAGCCTTTGCTGACCCTCACCTCCTATTACTCTGCTCACTGTACTCTCCTGGGGGCCTCAGACCGGTGATTTGTAAAACGTGTCTTGGTGTCTTGTGTACTCGGGAGGTTGTTCTGCCCGACAAACATCAATAGGATATCTGTGGGGTTCCCGTAATCTCCATGATACAACCCGAGTATAAGAGGTAGGAGAGCCTCAACTGTACAAGACATGGACACCTACCTGCACAACGTCCCACCAGGTGAGTTATCCATACTTTTTGTATACAGTCCCTCTAGGCAAGTTATCTTCACTCTATATACACAGTCCTTTTAGGTAAGTTATCCACAGTCCTCCACACACACACAGTCCCTCCAGGTATGTCATCCACACAGTCCCTCCAGGTATGTCATCCACACACACAGTCCCTCCAGGTACGTCATCCACACACACAGTCCCTCCAGGTACGTCATCCACACACACAGTCCCTCCAGGTATGTCATCCACACACACAGTCCCTCCAGGTACATTATCTGCACTCACCTGTTCCTAAATTATCTGTACTCTTCACACCGTCCCTTCAGGCAAGTTATCCACAGTTTCCACTTACTGTCCTTTTTGATATGTTATCCACTCTCTTTGCATACAGTTTCTCTTGGTAAGTTATCTTCTCCTTTTTGACATAACACTTACCTGCACATAGTCCATCCCGGTAAGTTATCCACAATCCCCAAACACAACCCCATGCAATCCCCTGCAGAGCCACCTCAGGTAAGTGATCAGCACTCACCTGCACAGAGCCACCTCAGGTAAGTGATCAGCACTCACCTGCACAGAGCCACCTCAGGTAAAGGATCAGCACTCACCTGCACAGAGCCACCTCAGGTAAAGGATCAGCACTCACCTGCACAGAGCCACCTCAGGGAAAGGATCAGCACTCACCTGCACAGAGCCACCTCAGGTAAGTGATCAGCACTCACCTGCACAGAGCCACCTCAGGTAAGTGATCAGCACTCACCTGCACAGAGCCACCTCAGGTAAGTGATCAGCACTCACCTTCACACTGCCACCCCAGGTAGGTAATCAGCACTCACCTGCACACTGCCACCCCAGGTAGGTGATCAGCACTCACCTGCACAGAGCCACCTCAGGTAGGTGATCAGCACTCACCAGCACAGAGCCACCTCAGGTAGGTGATCAGCACTCGCCTGCACAGAGCCACCCCAGGTAGGTGATCAGCACTCGCCTGCACAGAGCTACCCCATGTAGGTGATCAGCACTCACCTGCACACTGCCACCTCAGGTAGATGATCAGCACTCACCAGCACAGAGCCACCTCAGGTAGGTGATCAGCACTCACCAGCACAGAGCCACCTCAGGTAGGTGATCAGCACTCACCAGCACAGAGCCACCTCAGGTAGGTGATCAGCACTCACCAGCACAGAGCCACCTCAGGTAGGTGATCAGCACTCACCAGCACAGAGCCACCCCATGTAGGTGATCAGCACTCACCAGCACAGAGCCACCTCAGGTAGGTGATCAGCACTCACCAGCACAGAGCCACCTCAGGTAGGTGATCAGCACTCACCAGCACAGAGCCACCTCAGGTAGGTGATCAGCACTCCCCTGCACACTGCCACCTCAGGTAGGTGATCAGCACTCACCTGTTCCTCTGCAGGAAGGCAGCCCAGACGAGCACAGTGAGGAGGATAGAGACAAGGATCACTACACTCATTGTTCCCGGAGGAGGCAGATCTGGAAGTGGAGTCAGCAAACTCTCATCTTCTGTATATATAGGAGGGGGGCGGGGATTCCACATTCCATGAACACTGCCAGGATTTGGGGGGTAATTATCATACCGGATTGATAGAGCACCAACAGTTTGCTCAGCGCTTTACAATATAATTGGAGACAGTACAGTGACAATACAGTTCAATACAAGAGGGTTAGGAGTTTCATTCTCTCCACCTTTATCTGAACATGGGAGCAGCTGAACACTCCACCCCAATCATGAGCAGGAGACTAATGCAGGCCATAGACGGCTCGAAAAAAAACCAAAAATCAGTCGTTCAATCGGCCGACGTTACCACCAACGGTGAAAAAAAAAAAAAAAAAAAAAAGCGTCCGATTTTTGTTCTGTCGACGGCCGGCATTTAACCCCATAATTACTTCTGTCCTTTGCAGAGAGCTCTGCTATTATATTTTACATGAAAGTCTTGCGGTTGCAACAATGTATCCATTTGTATCCATTTCGGATACAGATGTTTGTATTTGGATACAAATGGATACATTTGTTGCAACTGCAAGGCTTTTCATATAAAATATAATAGCGGACTGGAATTCATATTCTTTTTCTTCTTTTTCTTCTTCTTCTTTTCCTTATTTTTTTTTTTTCTTCTTCTTCTTTTTCTTCTTCTTGCAGGTCACGGCTCATGCGCAGATTTTTTATCGGTAAAAGGATCGGCCGATTTGCCCATCATTGCCGGGAAAATTGGGCGATCGTCAAAATCGGCTGTGAATTTTCCAACATGCTGGATAAATAAAAAGGCGCAAAAAGCCCGAAAAACGGCTGACTAATTAACCCACTAACGGTGCGAAAATTGGCCGATTTTTTGGGGGGCCGAAAAATCGGCCAATTTTCGACCCATCTATGGCCTGCATTATTGACTGATGGAGGGAGAAGATGTTCCGGAAATGTCCTACACTCCACAAACTATGGGGTTGATGTACTAAAACTGGAGAGCGCAAAATCTGGTACAACTGTGCATGGGAGCCAATCAGCTTCTAACTTCAGCTCGTTCAATTAAGCTCTGAAAATAAAACCTGGAAGCTGATTGGTTACTAAGCACACCTGTACCAGATGTTGCACTCTCCAGTTTTAGTACATCACCCCCCATGTGCCTGCTTTGTCCATTAAAGGGGGTTCTGATTCATGGTAGGCCAGAACCCCCACATATTTCATAAGCTACAGGCAGAGTAGACGGCAGAGAGAATCTTCCTCTGAACATTTATATCCGGATCAGGGGCGGACTGACCATTTGGAAACTCGGGCACTGCCCGAGGGCCCGGGGTCAGTAGGGGGCCCCATGAGATGCCCCTGGTACCTTTTTCATAGGTTTTTTTGAGTTTGGGCAAGGACACAGGGGCCCCATGATCCCCTATTGCCCGAGGACCCCATGAGTTGTCAGTCCGCCCCTGGTGGTGAGATAGGTGGAGTGGTGAGGTAGTTAGAGGAATGGGGGGTAGGTGGTGGTGGATGGGTGACAGGAAAGTGGTGGGGTAAGTGGATTTATTGTAGGGTAGGTGGAGAAAGAGTGGGATAGGTGGAAGAAACAGAGTGGTGGTGGGGAAGATGGGGTAGTTGAAGTAGGTCAAGGAGTAGTGGGGAAGATGGAGGTATAGTGGGGTAAATAGAAGAGAGGTGGGATATATAGAGGCAAGGTGGGGGAGGTAGAATGGTACCCCATGATCCCCTATTGCCCGTGGGCCCCATGTCAGTCCACCCCTGATACAACCCCCAGCCTCAACAGCCACAATGTTACATCTCAGGCATAGATCAGGCTGGTGTTCCGTAAACCTAACACCATGTCCATCGCCCAACCCCAGAGTTCATCCTACACCCAATCCTTACACCGCGCCCATTGCTGCTACTCTATCACGGCTTACTCTTTGAATAGAAGGGACCTCATCTTCATCCTCTGGAGTCATTCCAGCCAACACTCTGGGATTATGCCATTTTGGCGCACACTGTTGTTGGTTTCCGGAGGTCCTGGGAGGTGCCGATGGGGGAACATTGTATTTGTTATTATTCCTGATTTTCCATCCAACATTGGCGGAGATTAATTTTAGCTAAGCCCCCTCTTCGTTTATCATAACAAAGTCTTCAGTCTGCGTCGCATGTTTACGGAGGAAATAAACAACGTGTTGACGGAGCGCTGACTGGCTAGTAATCTGTGGAAATCTGCGACCTGACTGGATCATGTTCCAGGAATGTCAGCGAAAATAGTCATGAGATTAATTTCCCTGATTTACGTGAATTATGGATTTCACTCCAGATATCAGAGGACGATACGCTGAGAAAGGAAGAAGAAGCACTGAATTTCCCTGATCCCGTTCCTCTGCCATAGATCTCAGGATACTGGAAGCCTATTGCAGAGACTTCCCAGCATGTTGGACAATTCAGGGCCCAGGCAATCACATCTAATCATTACTTGGACAAACCCTCCATTCTTGAGATGAGGCCATGGTGGGGTTAAACGTTGTCATGGTGTGAGCAGAACGTGAACACACATCAGATGTCTCAAGAGAACCTGTGGGTACAATACCATTGAGGAGCACACACCATAATGTATGGTTGGACTTCAGTAAGGGTTATGCCAGTTCCAGGTAGAGAGGATGAACATGTGCCCCCACCTTCCCATCACCACCCCAGAACTAGCAATGTAACTAAGCAGGTTGGAGATGACAAATTACACTGGCTGGCTAATGACAGGTTCTCTTCGATGGATTTAAGAATGTTCCCCTCTGCGTAGTCTGTGGCCCCACCATGTGTCAGGAGGCAGCTGAATGGGGTCAGGTATTTCACCTGCAGATCTCAATGTGTGGCCAATTAGTCTTTATCAGTATCTCTGAATCCTGAATGGCTGCCAATCTGCATCTAGCCAAAACAAATCGTGAACCTGAGTCCATTCACTATCTTGTGCTTCAGTCTATGCAGTTCTTCCTTCACTTGACCATAGATCTAATTACCCCAACTATATCCCACTGTAGCACCATTGTACCCCTACCACTCTTCTACTTAACTCACGATACCTCCGCCTACACCTCCACCTACTACACTACTGCTTTACCTACCCAACTATAGCTTCACCTTCTTGACCATAGATCTAATAACCTGCTGTACCTCCACCTACCCCAATGTACTTCCATACTCCAGCATACATCTACTATATCCTGCCACTACCTCCACCTACCCCACCATTCCTCTACTACAGTATATTCCACCATATGCTGACCTACTTTACTAAACCTTCATCTACCCAACCAACCCTATCTGACTTTCACCTACACCAGTGTACCTCCCCCTACCCTATCGTACCTCCACCTACCCTAACATACTTCTATTGTTTTTCACTGAATACCCCCCCCCCCCCTCCAGCAAAACCTCCACCTATCCCAATGTACCTCCACCAACCCCACCTACTTTATAGTACCTCTGCCTACCCCACCACTCCTCTATTGCCCTCTTTTCAGCCATACCTCAACCAATCCCAACATACCTACATGCTTCAGCATACCTTCATCTACCCCATAGTTCCTTCTCCTATACCACCATACTTCCACCATATCCTACCTTAGCTCCATCTACCCCATACCTTCTCTACCCACCATACCACTCCTCCATCTCCACCATAACTCCTCTGCCAACCCCAGCTCTCCTCCACCTACCTCACCACTCCTCTACCTACCTCACCACTCCTCCATCTACCCCACCAGTCTTCTACCTACCTCACCATTCCTGTATCTCCCGATACGATTCCCCACCTACCTGACCATGCTTCTGCCTACTCCACCACCCCTCATTTACCCACTTCGCCAACCCTCCACCTACCCCACCACTCCTCTATTTATTCTAATATTTTTGCAGCTTTCCTCACCTCCCCCATCTACTCCAATACCATTCTACCTCCCCCACCTTGCCTCTATATATCCCACCTCTCTTCTATTTACCCCACTATACCTCCATCTTCCCCACTACTCCTTGACCTACTTCAGCTACCCCATCTTCCCCACCACCACTCCGTTTCTTCCACCTATCCCACAATAAATCCACTTACACCCACCACTTTCCTGCCTTTCCTGTCACCCATCCACCACCCCCTACACCACCACCTACCCCCCATTCCTCTAACTACCTCACCACTCCACCTATCTCACCACTCCTCTGCCTAAACTGTCACTGCTCCACCCACCGCCCCTCTACCTACTCTACCTGCTCTATTGCTCCTCTACCTACCTTGCCACTCCTCCACTTACCCCACCCCCCTTTCACCTACTGTGCTAACTCTCTACTTACCCCACTGTACCTGTTAATACTTCACTGTACTGATACCCACCCCACCTACTCTTCCCCTACCCTGCCACCCCTCTATCTATCCCACTACTCCTCTGCCCCACCACTTCCCTTCCTAATCTGCCATCTGTTTATCTATCTAACCCTCCACTTACCCCAACATTACTCAACCTACCCTACCACACCTCTACCTATGCCACTACCCTCTTACTTACCCCTTTACCTAACTACCCCACCACTCTTCCATCTCTCCTTCCACTACTCCCTCACCTCCCCCACAACCCCTCCATCATCTCCACTACCCCTTTACTCTTTCACATAATCCACCACTCCTTCATCTACACTGCTCCTCCTCTACGTATTCAACCACTTTTCCCCCTACCCTGCAACCTACTTCACCACTTCTCTAACTACCTCGTTATTCCTCTACCTATCTCACCACCCCTTCACATTCCCTACCTCTCCTCCACCTACCCTGCCAACCCCTCCACCTACCTAACCAAACTTTTCTATCCTCCACTGTACAGATAACTACCCCACTGTACCTCTACCTACTCCACTTTCCCTTCACCCTCCCCACCACTCCACATTACCCTGTCACCTCTCCACCGTACCTCTTAATACCCTACTGCAGCAACACACCCAACATATCTTATTCAATCACTTATTCAATCACTCTTCTTGGTGAACTCCACCTACCCCTTACCCCTCTGTACCTTTAAAATACCCCACAATACCTCCACAAACTCCTTTTCTTTCCCATCTTCCAGCTGATTACAAAACATGAGGGAGGCTCACCTCCAGAGAGATACTTCCACATGGATGAGATAAGAAGAAGGCAGAGAGTAGAAGTCTTCACAATAAAATGAATTAATCACAGATAGCCTCAAGAAAGGAAAATGTGTGGCAATGTGTTTTATTGGTTAGCAGAATATATTTTATATAGTGAATATATAGTAATCTTTGTAGAACGTTCAGTTCTGTGTGAGGAACAGTGTGCTGATCACCAAGAAATCACCGACTTACATACATACTGTAAGTAGAGTAGATACCAAACAACAGGAGGAAGGGAAAAACAAGCAGATTGATGAGATCAGAATATACAGTATACTATATTCATACATGGCTTCATGTACTTAAAAACACAATATTATTTTGTAGGGTATCCGTCACATATGAACACCCTACAGGCACAGGGTACTATGTGCTCATCATATGTTATCCTTATATAAATCCCTGTGTTCCCAGCATCCATCATTGTAAAAACAATATGGTACAGGGTAGGTGATATAGAGCAAGGGTGGAGCACTGCTGGCATTGCAGCCTTACAATATTGATGGCGGGTAAAGCATAGTGGTCTACGGCTGACAAGTATTACTGTCTGGCACTGGTAGGCCGCCTTGGACTCAATAGGCAAGGGGCAGTAGCAGGGGCGGACTGACCATTTGGAAACTCGGGCACTGTCCGAGGGCCCGGGGTCAGTAGGGGGCCCCATGAGATGCCCCTGGTACCTTTTTCATAGGCTTTTTTGAGTTTGGGCAAGGACACAGGGGCCCCATGATCCTCTATTGCCCGGGGGCCCCATGAGTTGTCAGCCCACCCCTGGGCAGTAGCCATCTGTATCCTTTGCATTAGGCATTTCTTTATAGTACAGAACAGCTATTCTCAACCAGGGTTCTATGAAATCCTAAGGTTCCTCCAGAGGTTGCTGGAGGTTCCTTGAGCTATAGTTAATTGACCTTACATTTGATGATGCCTGCATAATTCCAGGGCCAGTTCATTTGTCAGAGCTGGCTGCATGACACCAACAATCTTTGTAGCAGTCTGTAAGGGTGGGCTTTTCACCATCACTGTAAGGAGCATTCTTCCCACTGTACACCAATGTAAGAAACATCCTTACCACTGTACACCAATGTAAGGAGCATCCTTCCCACTGGCCACCAATGTAAGGAGCATCCTTCCCACTGGCCACCAATGTAAGGGACATTCTTTCCACTGGCCACCAAAGTAAGGGGCATTCTTCCCAGTTTTTATTTATTAAAAGTCTTGCAATCAAAAAACATAACATCATATACAGAATATACAAAAATAAATCATTATATACATATTTGCACAAAAACAAAAATAAATATAGCAAAATCTGCTGTCAGACAAAAGCAAAACTCTCAGAAATAAACCTGCCATTAGTGGGGGAAATAAATCTTACTACCACTCACATCACTACACCAGACATCAAACCTGAGAGGTCAAGAAACAACCCCGCACCTATTATGCATGCAGCCCTTCTTCCAAAAGAAGATCTTAACCAACAAAAACTAAGGGAGTAAAAAGAACAGGAAAAGAAAAGAGTCCCTCACCCAGAGATGGACAGTTCACCAAAGGAAGGTCTGATATTCCTCCACGCCCCTATCCAGACCGCCCAAGGCTCTTTGCCCTTCTCAAGACCCCAAATCTTCCCAACCTCACCCAGAATATTGTGCACCACCACCTCAACAGGGAAGACTTTCTTCCGCAGTCTGAAACCATGCATTCCATGTGAAGTAACGAACAACTATACTAAGTAGAAAAAGTGTGTCCAAATCAAAGTCCCAGTGAGCTGGGAATGCCCCTTACACCCACTCTGCATAACTCATGCGATAGAGAAAGGGATGCCCAGAGCCCTCCCCACCCTTTTATACACCTCTATGTTAAAGCGACACTGGAGCAGAAAGTGGTCCATAGACTCCACTTTACCAACACACTCCGCTCTAGGATAATCCCGATCATCCACACGGCGATGCTTCGGGTTCCTCTCACATACAGCCTTCCATGGAAAGTGAGCCAGGCTTGATCCCTAAACTTCAAAGGGATTCTCTCCAAATTAATTAAACGCAACCTCTCCCTCATTACGGAGTCTGGGCAATCCTTTAAGGTCAGTGACACACTGAAAGCAGAAGCCAAAATCCTCTCCTCCAGAAGCTTCCTGGGAAAGGACCTGATATTCTCCACTGTCACCTGCCACTGCCGAAGTCATGTCGGACTCTCAGACTTTTCACTTGCCCGCCATCTTCCCAGCAACGCAGAGAAGGCTTAAACCAAGACTGAAAAATACCCACTCGTCCCAGCGGGGTCTCTGCTAACATATTACCAAGATTGTACTTTAAAAAGAGCAAAGAAAAGAAAACTATCGGGTTAACCATTCCAAGGCCACCCTCCCACTTGGACAGGTCAGTTACACTGCATTTGATCAGGTTCAGCCTATTTTCCCATAACAGTTGGAAAAAGCAGCAGCTATAGACCCTTGCATATAGAGATACCGACGAAGTGGACATATAAAAAGATCAGGATCAGATAAGTTTTGATTAAGTCAACCCTCTCCCTCAAGGAAAGCCTCCATCTCTTCCAGCTTGCTGCTTTGGCATTGGCATCTACCAACCTGCTTCCCCAATTTCGATGACCATAATCACCAGGACCAAATTTGATGCCCAACGCTTTAATTTCCTGCTCGGGCTCCAGGAAGGCATCCGGAATTCCGAAGCTTTCACCCTCCTCACCCATCCAGAAAACTCTTTTCATTGGTTGACTTTAGAGCCAGAAGCATCTGTGTACTGCTCTATCGCAGAGACCAGCTCCTGCGCCTCAGAGATAATAACAGACACATCATCAACATAGGACACAACCTTCAAAGGCGGCGCACTAGAAATGCCCAGAGGCACCCCGTACAATGATGCACCCTCTAGCCTTCTCACAAAGGGGTCGATTGCAAAAGCATATAGCAGGGGGCTCAAAGGACATCCCTGGTGCACACCAAAGCCAACCTCAAAAGGCCCAACCATTAACAAATGGGAAGCTCTCAGCCCCTCTATAAACCTCCCTTGCAGGCCATATCTACCAAGTAGCAACCACAGATATTCATGATTCACTCGATCAAAACTTTTGCCTGATCCACTGCCAGCAAGTACTTTCTCCATCCAGCAGCCCTGCATCGTTCCAAAGCCTCCCGGATAGCCAAAACTGCTGAAAAGGTACGTCTACCTTGTACGGAACAGTGCTGATGGCTGGACAAAACAAATCACCTCCTACTGACGACAAGCGCCAAAAAAGAATCTTTGCCAAGATCTATAAACATTGAGAAGACTGATGGGGCGCCATTTCTCATTCATTGAGGGGTCTTTTCCTTTGAACAGAAGAATCACAGAAGATTGCCTCATGGAGGGAGGGAGCAAACCCTCTTCTAGACAGTTGTTAAAAACCACCACTAAAAAGGGAGCCAGAATGGACTTAAAACACTTGTAAAATTCAGCTGTCAATCCATCTGGCCCAGGCGATTTTTTGGTAGCCAGCCCGGGGTTTGTAGGGGGCCCCATGAGATGCCCCTGGTACCTTTTATAGGCTTTTTGAAGCTTGGGCAAGGACACAGGGGCCCCATGATCCCCTATTGCCCGGGGGCCCCATGAGTTGTCAGTCTGCCCCTGGTTCCTCCTGTCCCTTGGCACCATCTGTTTCACCTTCAGTGGGGCCTGGGTTGGAGATACAAGAGAGGCTGACTTCGTCAATTCCGACTTCTATCAGGTACATGACAATATTCCTCTGATTGTTTGGAAACATCTCTGTCAGGTGTTTTCCCTTCATGTCTTCAGAGGGTTTCTCTATAGCAGAAAGACTAACAGCCGTCTCCTTGCAGAGCTCCTTCTCTTTTTGGTCCTCAGTTGGGACACCATTCACCACAGCCAGTGGGGCAGACATGCTGGAAGCAGCCATCTTGGTGTAGTGGGACTTCTTCACCAGTACTGGCTTTGCTGGTCTATACCTCCTCTGTCTATCCTCATCGGAAAAGGCAAACTTGTCTGCTCTCAGGGGTGACTCCATCTGCTGGAAGAATCTTAAGTTTCCATGCTCACTCTCAACCCCCTGGCTGGTTGCCGGTGGGGAGAGACGGGGGAGAGCCTGACATGGGGGGAGAGACGCAGAAGTAGATGGATCCGGGTCATCCATTACATGAGGCTGCTGATCCACAGAACTCATTGATGTTTGGCAGGCAAATCTCCTCCCATTATCAAACTTTTCTGTAAATGCTCCACTTCTTGCTTTTAGCTTTTCCAACAATAAAGATTGTTTCTTTACTTTTTCCTCCATCTGCTGTAGCTCTGGCTTCATCGCCAATTGATTCTTACGCCAGGCCTGGCAGTATTTGGCTCTGAAGGATTTGTGTACAGCTTTCAAAATTATGTTTTTCCTCAACTCTATCAATCTTCAAGAATCGATCAATAATCCTCTGTCTGTACACATCCACATCCTCACCAGGGCCTGGACCCACAGTCAGGCCCTCCACCTCCTCCTCCTCACTAGGCCCTGTGTCATCAGGGGGATCCTCCCAGGGCCTCTCCCCTGGATCAGGTATGGTTCCTGGGCCAAGCTAGCAGGCAAGGCCAGGCTTCTCAGGGAGAGCTCCTTCAGTGTGTCCTCCTCCTTCTCCCCCCCCTGACCATCAATGTAAGGAGCATTCTTCCTACTGACCACCAATTGGAAGGATTTTCTTCCCAAAGGCCACCAATGTAAAGGAAATTCTTCCCACTGTCCACCAATGTAAGGGGGATTCTTCCAACTGGCACCCAATGTAATGGCCATTCTTAACATTGATTACCAATGTAAGGAACATTCTTCCCTCTTACCTCCAATGTAAGGGGTATTTTTCCCATTGACCACCAATGTAAGGGGGATTCTTCCAACTGGCCCCCAATGTAATAGCCATTCTTACCATTGATTACCAATGTATGGAACTTTCTTCCCTTTTACCTACAGTAAATGTAAGGGTATTTTTCCCATTGACCACCAATGTAAGGGGAATTCTTCCACTGGCCACCAATGTAAGGGGGCCTTCTTCCCAATGACCTTCAATGAATTGGTTTAAGCAAGACCTGAAAATTATTTTTTTGGAATTCATCTGGGGTGAAAAGGTTGAGTAAGGATGATATATGGGCTTTTGACTATGTAGGCCTGGAAGCCTAAGAACTATATAATCTCATACTACATCATAATTTATTCCATCCAAATTCTCTGATCTTCACCCTACCACACTGAGTGATGCCCCACAGTCATAAAACCAGAGGGCCCAGGATGGGTCACGTACATTCCAGGGTATACGTCTCCAGTTCCCCATCTATACTCTCTGCTCTCCATACAGGAATTCTCCATCTGGAAATGATTGCTCCTCATCTCCTAATTGCCAATAAAACATTCCTATAAAACCTGTCGGGGGAAATATTTCTCATATATCAGATTCGGTGTCAGAGCTGCTGAGTACAATGTGCAGAGACGTTGTTCGGGGGAGAGTGCGCCTTTCCAGACACAGCTCGCTGGAATGCAATTATTAATTTTATTATTAATAAATAATTGGAAATGGGAGAAATCCTAAACTCCATAACTTTTCAGATAAACTAAGACCATAACTCTAAATGAACTTATAGCTTCCCGTTTAGTGCAATTAGATTCAAAACATTAAATAAGTGGAATGTTGGAGAGTAAAGAGGAATGATTATTTCCTATAAGAACTATTTCTATGATATTACTATTATTATTATTATACAGTATTTATATAGCGCCAACAGTTTGCTCAGCGCTGTACATTACAATGGGAGACAATACACGAGACAGTAACAGTAACAATACAATACACGAGGGGTTCGAGGGCCCTGCTCCTTGGAGCTTACAATCTAGGAGGGAGGGGAGAGTGGTACAGGAGGAAATAGCTGTGGGGGATGGAGTGGTGGGGAGAGTGGAGGAGATCAGCAGTTAGGTGAGGGCAGGGTAGGCTTCCCTGAAGAGATGGGTTTTCAGGGTGTGCCTAAAGGTGAGGAGGGTAGGTGACAGTCTGGCAGATTGGGGTAGTGAGTTCCAGAGGATGGGGGAGGCTCTGGAGAAGTCCTGGGAGGAGACCAGGGAGCTGGAGAGTAGGAGGTCTTGTGAGGAGCGGAGAGTACGTTTTGGGTGGTAGATGGATATCAGGTCGGTGATGTAGTTTGGGGCAGTGTTATGAACAGCTTTTTGATATTGGATGTGATGCAGCCTGGTGCCTATGGTATGTATTATGTCATGCATTACAATGTTACAATGTATGTCGTGCTGTATACAGCAATGTGTGAATTATTGTACATTGTAGTAGGTTTAGTGGAGTACGCATCAGTGCCCCCCTGCCCCCAGCATCTGGAAACTGTCAGTGTCCGGTACCTAAGCTTTTTCTGCTCTTCCAGCCTCTTCTCCTGGTTAAACATCATATATCCAAAGTATAAACAACCAGAGAGCCTACGGAAAAACAGAGCACCCTTCTCCTGTATAGAGATGCAGATCATGGAGCGCCCCTCTTCTGTACAGAGGAACAGAGAATAAAACACCCTCGTCCTTTTTAGAGGGACAGAGCATGGAATGCCCTCCTCCTGTACAAAAGGGCAAAGACTGGAGCACCCTCTTTTTTTGCACTGAAGGACAGAGATTGAAGCAGCTTCCTTCTCAACTGAGGGAGAGAGAATGGAGTGCCTTTCTCCGGTACAGTGAATGAAGCACCCTCCTCCTGTACAGAGAATGGAGCACCCTCCTGTACAGAGCATGGAATGCCCTCCTCCTGTACAAAAAGGCAAAAAACAGAGTGTCTTCCTGAACTGAAGGGCAGAGATTGAAGCACCTTCCTCGTGAACTGAGGGACAGAGAATGGAGCGCCTTCCTCCAATACAGAGAATGGAGGGCCCTCCTCCTGTACAGAGAATGGAGTGCCCTCTTCTGGTACAGAGAATGGAGCGCCCTCCTACTATACAGAAGGACAGAGAATGGAGCGCCCTCCTCCTGTACAGAGAATGGAGTGCCCTCCTCTGGTACAGAGAATGGAGTGCCCTCCTACTATACAGAAGGACAGAGAATGGAGCGCCCTCCTACTATACAGAAGGACAGAGAATGGAGCGCCCTCCTCCTGTACAGAGAATGGAGTGCCCTCTTCTGGTACAGAGAATGGAGCGCCCTCCTACTATACAGAAGGACAGAGAATGGAGCGCCCTCCTCCTGTACAGAGAATGGAGCGCCCTCCTCCGGTACAAAGAATGGAGTGCCCTCCTACTATACAGAAGGACAGAGAATGGAGCGCCCTCCTACTATACAGAAGGACAGAGAATGGAACACCCTCCTCCTGTACAGAGGATGGAGCGCCCTCCTTCGGTACAAAGAATGGAGTGTCCTCCTACTATACAGAAGGACAGAGAATGGAGCGTCCTCCTCCGGTAAAGAGAAGGGAGCGTCCTCCTCCGGTACAGAGAATTGAGTGCCCTCCTCCGGTACAGAAGGACAGAGAATGGAGCGCCCTCCTCCTGTACAGAGAATGGAGCACCCTCCTCCTGTACAGAGAATGGAGCATCTTCCACCGGTACAAAGAATTAAGTGCCCTCCTCTGGTACAGAGAATGGAGCGCTCTCCTACTATACAGAAGGACAGATAATGGAGTGCCCTCCACCTGTACAGAGAATGGAGCACCCTCCTCCGGTACAGAGAATGGAGAGCTCTCCTCCTGTACAGAAGGACAGAGAATGGAGCACCCTCCTCTGGTACAAAGAACAGAGTGTCCTCATCTTGTACAGAGAATGGAGTGTCATCCTTTGGTAAAGAGAATGGAGTGCCCTCCTCCTGCACATTGCAGAGAATGGAGCGCCCTCCTCTGGTGCAGAAGATAGAGCGCCCTCATCTGGTACAGAGAATGAAGCACCCTCCTCATTTTCAGAGAATGAAGTGCCTTCCTCCTGTAAAGAAAGACAGAGAATGGAATGCCCTCCTCCAGTACAGAGAATGGAGCACCCTCCTTTTGTACAGAGGGGCAGAGAAGAGATTGCCCTTCTCCTATACAAAGGGGCAAAAAATGGATCACCATCCTCCTATATAGAGGAGCAGAGTATGGAGTGTCTTCTTCCAGTACAAAGGTGCAAAAAATGGAGCGCCCTGCTGCTGTTCAGTAGGTCAGAAGTGGAGCGCCCTCTCCCTGTACAGTGGGTCAGAAATGGAGCGCCCTCTCCCTGTACAGTGGGTCAGAAATGGAGCGCCCTCTCCCTGTACAGTGGGTCAGAAATGGAGCGTCCTCCTCCTGTTCAGTGGGTCAGAAATGGAGCGCCCTCTCCCTATACAGTGGGTCAGAAATGGAGCGCCCTCTGCCTGTACAGTGGGTCAGAAATGGAGCACCCTCCTCCTGTTCAGTGGGTCAGAAATGGAGCGCCCTCTCCCTGTACAGTGGGTCAGAAATGGAGCGCCCTCTCCCTGTACAGTGGGTCAGAAATGGAGCGCCCTCTCCCTGTACAGTGGATCAGAAATGGAGTGCCCTTCTCCTGAACTGAGGGACAGAGACAGAGAGCTTCCTCCTTTTGAACAAAGGGACATAGAATTGAGCACCCTTCCTCTGTACAGAGGGGCAAAAAATGGAGCACTT